CCGCTCGCCCCGGCCCCCCACCACCCCACCACCCCACAGCTCAGCATTGGGTGCAGGGCACCCCTCTGCCCCACACCCTCCCTACCAGCCCCCAGAAGCCGTCAGAGGCCTCCAACAAGGACGTGGTGGCCACTGAGGACAGCGTCCCTGCTGCCACCCCCCACCCCCCCGCCCTTGCTCCGCCAACCAGCGGAACCACCACACAGCCCAAGGGTGAGTTTTAGGGGGTGGCAGGGCCCGCAGGTGGGCAGCCAAGCTGAGGAGAGCTTGGATCACCAGGGGCTGGGTTGTCTTTGCTTGCTTTTTCAGCAGTGGTGACCACCCCAGCAGCCCCGGGGAAGCGCACAGACCTGCCCAAGCAGGGGCCAGCCGCCTTCGCTGAGGCCGTTCCTGAGCAGGCAGAGGACACCACCACCTGGCTCCACACCGAGGACAGTGAGGACACTGTCCCCGATGTCCCCGACAGCCCCAGCTTGGCTGCCTTCCTCCGAGAGCTGCCCGACCTCTCGGACTATGTGGCAGAAGGCAGCTGCCCCAAGGAGCAGACAGCGGTGGTGGGGCTGGGGGACAACGAGGACACCGGCCCCGATGTCCTTGATTTCCCCTACAGCCTGGCCAGCTCCACTTTCCTCAGTGAGCTCCCAGACCTCTCCATGGACATGGTTTGATCTATTTATGTACTTCAGGATGTTGCACGCCCAAATTCTGCGTGAGCACATTGTTAGGAGATTGCTCCAGCCTTCTTGTGTGGGGAGCCCGTGCAGGGCGGGCGCGTGGGCAGAGGGAGCCACAGATGAGATGCAAGACCTGAGTGACCTTAGGTGCATGTAGAAATCCAGTCATGCTGCTACTACTTTAAGGTATTATTTTAGCACGTGGAGCTGTGTGAGGATTTCCTTCCGCAGCAGTCAGAGCTGGGATTGTCATAGTAAACATTTTACCCAGCTACATAGAGTAAACCAGGTGATTATTTCACTCGGTGGCTTTAACGGAAACGCTTATTCAAGATGAAGGGGTTCACAGTCTTCAACATCCCCATTCTAGCTGTGATATTCTCAGATGGCCCTGCAAAGTCAGAGTTCCAGGAGTGGTGATGGAAATGTACTGTGTGACAAGAAGCCCTGTAAACTTCAGATATTGCTCGTTCTTAGTGTGGTAAAAGAGAGCCCATTGGGACCGACTGCCATCGCTATTTTCTTGTCCCATCCACTCTATCTAGCATTTCTTTTTAGTCCACAGAGGCTGAGTCACTGTTGCAAATTCTGGGGTGATGTGATTTCTAACCTGTCTGTGAGTCAGAGCTGAGTTGAGAAGGGGGCAAAACAACAGGAGAAATGCAAATCTAGATGAAAAGAACGTTTTATGTTAATGGCAATTCTGTTCATATGTGTTGAGGCAATCTGGTGGCTTAATGTGTAAAAATGCATATGCGCATTCAGACCACTATACAGTCAGGTCCATCAGTAGATCTTCATTCCTGTCTTGCAAGGGAGTTTTCCTGCAGCATCCCATTGATTTCAGTGCGCACAGAGACCATTGCAGCTTTTTCTGAATTCAGCTGCTTGCATGGTTGGAACCAACACAGTGCCATCTCCTGAGTCTGGTAAATTTTACCTGACAGCCATCGTTTAAGAAGTAGTGGACATGGATAAAAATACTTAGTGAACTTGAAGAGAAAATGGGTAGTCTCTGCAGGTCCTAAATAGGGCTAAGAAATCGATCCTAAATAAGAAACAGAGAAAAAATTGCTTCTTGGCTGTACACTAGAGGCCTCTCTTCCGACAGGTGTAAAATATTGTTTTGTGGGCACAGTAGCAGCTCTGAGATGAAAAAGTAGGTGAGAGTGAAATCAGGACAATTCCATGGAAGAGAGTAGAGTTGTGGAGGCAAAACAGGGATCGAAGAGGTGAACTGTGCTCCCTCTAGCTTCATCTTCGAATGATACAAAGGGATTTGTAGAATAATTCAGGTCAGAAGGGACCTTCTGGAGTTCATCTAGTCCAGCCTGCAGTAATAGGACTGAGGCTTTTCTAAAGAAATACTCTTGAATCTAGAAATTTGTTATTTAGATCTTAAAGCTTGATATTTTTTTCATATATTTTGAATTGCTTGTGTTTGGGCAGAAGTGCAGTAAAGGTCAAGTGGAGAAAAGTAAAGTATGAAAAACACCCTTAATTCCCTGAGTAAGTGCCAAAAAAGAGCAAAGTTGACCTGAACTCTTGTTGCAGGTGGGAAGGAGTTACCATCCCATGAGTAGCTGGAAGCTGTTGCATGTGTTTAAAGTAACCAATGCTATTTTGTTTCCCTGAAGTGTTCCCTTCGGAGTGTTGTTGATGTAATTAGTAAAGAATCTTGCCCTGTACTTTCTGAGAATGAAAACAGGTAACAGTTCTTCACTCACATGAACGTACGTATTTTTATTTGTATTCCATTTGCCACAAGGCTGCTATCCATTGTTAAATAAAACAGTCAGAGAAACTGTTGCACATCACCTGGTAAAACATAAAGGTTCTCTCAGAGGTAACTGATGGGTCAGAGTAACATTGAGTAAGCTTTTTGTGAGAAAGGGATTTTACATCTTGCTGGAAAGCTTACTGTATCAAAACTTGCTTGTTTTAAAACAGAATGAAAAAAGCATTTTTGACCTTTTCCACAAAAACTACATTTATATTGGATCGGTGTGTTCTTCTGTAGTCTTCTGTGATACCGTGCAAAAAAGAAGGAAAAATAATTCAGAATGAAAAGTCATAACATTATGTAATACTGTAAAATTTCTACCTTATAAAATGCCTCTTTCAGTTTTTATTTCATAATTCATGTCATCAGGACATTTTACAAGAAATCTTTCTGGTTTGATACGTTGTTTTTTCTGATGGAAAACAGATCCACAGGAGCATTTCTGACAAGAACTGAAAACTTCTTGTTTGGGAGCTTTGCTCTGTATTATTTAGTTATGTTTATTTGTTTTGTATTTGTTTGGTTGGTTTTTTTAGTTCCTTTACTTTGCATTTCCACTGAAAATTTGGAATTTTCTCAGGGAGATTGCTAAAACTCTGTTGTTCTGATGCTTCATTCTGTTCTGTTGCTTCATTTCTCTTCGTATTGGTTTTACCATGTAAGAGTATATATTACTGTAGAGGAGATAGGGCCTCTTCCAGATTGGTCTCAGCTGTTGAATATGGCTTGTCTGACTCGATAGTTAGCAATATTAGTATTTTCTTAATTTCTTACATGTACAGATACTACACAAGATCCTCATTATCTTTGTATTTTTTTTGTATCTCCCACTGCCGATTTCCCTGTTTTGTTTACCTGCCGCTAATCCTATGTAGTTTAGTAGTTCCTACAAACAGAAGACTTCTACAGAAACCTGATAATTTTGAACCCACTTTCACTTTGAGTTGAGGCTGATACTAAACCAAACAAGGTTTTGCTTCTGAAGAGCACGGTACTGGCTATGTTGAGTCTTCTTCCCATTGACTAAGTGTTTTCCTTCATCCAGCACTTCGTATGTGTTGATGCGTCTGTGCTTTTCCTGTCATTCAGTGTTCCTGTCCAGTTATGCAGAAGTGCTGTGCTACAGAAGAAGATTACATGCTTGACTTTTGCTGAAGTAACTAACGTACAACCAGACTGCCTTCTCCAGTTTAGTTTATGTATGCTAAGATAGCTTTGTAACACATACTGACCAAAAAAAGGGGATGCAGGATGGCAGTACAGCTTCCTGGAGTAATTTCTGAAATGCTGTTGCTTCGGTCTCACAGTGACAGTGTTTGAAGTCCTTGTCTTTGTATTAGGATATTCAGCATAGGAGAAAAGGAAAAAAAAAGGGACATACACAGGTATTTGACTTTGGAAAGTCGTCATGCTCGCTGAGTGGTTTCTGTTTAGCACTATTTTGTGTTATCATCTTTATGCTACTGAAGTTAAAAGAAAAATGCTTAGAAAATAAGAGAAAAAGGAAGAGTGTCTTTGACTTTCACCTGCCAAGTTTCTTCTGTGAGCTTGCATGTGTGTGAGGCTCGGATGCTGTACCAGTCAGTAGGCTTATTAGGCTTATTTCAACATTGCTCAACAGAGCCGAGACCTTGAATACACAATTAAGGATGGACACATATCTAACTTGAGTAGCAGAACAAGCTGTAGTAAGGTATCACATCAAAGTCTGACCCACTAGAAATGGTAGAAGATATGAAAACACTCACTTAATTTTAAAGTACTTGCTCTTTAGGTGTGCTGAAGTGATTAGTCACCTTTTTAGTTTCTGTTTAACTGTCTGATTGCTGACACAGCATATTTTTTTGTTCAAGGTTTTTCATATCAAAGTAAATTACAAGATACAGGACGGATTTGTTTTGTGAACATCCCTTTTACAGTCAAAACTTCACATGCTGCTGGAGTACGCCTGTTTTCACCAGAACTATGAATATGCTAGAAAGGAACTCTTCTTAAAACTTGTAATTGAGTCAAGTCTGGAAATTAATAATGCCAGCCGAGTGTTACAAGTGCATACAATAATTACTTGAATGCTTGCTAAAAGTTGTGGAGTGGCTGGAAGCAAATAGGCACGTTGTGGGCGATCCAGACCGAGGGGCCTCACAACTGCAGCTGTTGTGAAGGTCATATGCAAGGTCAAAAGAGATAATGAAATTGGGGGTTTGAGAAACTGCCTATGTTGCAGAGAGGTAAGGAGGTTGGAATGTAAAAAAGAAGATAACAAGATGCATAAACAGAATGCAGGTAGGGCAGAGCAAGGCGTGTGAACGAGCAGCTTTAACCTATTAGCAACCAAAACGTAACGCGTGCTCTTTGTGCTAGTGTATAAATTGCTGTGTATCCTTTAATAAAGTGGCATTAACTTGATCACATTGATCGTGCATGTTGTGTCCGAGACTCCTGCGTCACCACGCTGCACTAAGCAATCCCTGTCTGTCTTCTTCCTTTCCCTGGGAACACACAAACACTAATCAGAGCCAGAACAGCGCTTTTAGGCTCACGGCGAGAACTTCTCACAGAAAGTGCTCGCACGTACGGTCGTCACTGTACAGCAGCCTCCCCTCCAAACTACCACGGTACGCTAAGCCATCCAGCTCTCTCTGCTTCCTTTGCCTAGGAACACACAAACACTACGCAGAGGCTGTACAAGCTCTTTTAGGTTCCTGGCGAACTTAAACTGCTTTGTGCTTATATTGTCTGTAAATGTGGCTCGAGTGATGCCCAGCAACTTGGTGAATCGTATTGTTTATTATTTACCTATTTTAGGAGGGTGGGGTATTAATCCCATATGACTTTCTGCTTTTTTACATTGGTTTATACTTGGCTTTCACTAGTGTGACATTCATCCGTAACCCTGTGGTCAGTCTACTGTGAAAATAATCCTAACGTATTGTATATTCTGTATCCTGTAGGCAAAGATGAAGCAGTTGTTTGAAGCATGGTGAAAACTGTCCGATTCTCAACAGCAGGTATAACAGTGGGTTTTGGTGAGGCTCTGATCTAATTGGAAAATTACAAACTGGAGTCAAATTAATAAATTCATAGGAAATCTTGAATTCGGTTGCTCAAAATATAATACTGAGGACAATACTCTGAGATCTTATTTGTACACCTTGAAAAAGATCGTCATTACTTTTATTCCAGTAGTGACCATTTCTTTCACAGTGTTGATGAAATGTGACTCAGTGGGATGGGATGGAAGTTCTGTATGCCTGGAAATGGATGCTGAGCGGCATCTAGGGATGAAGGTGGAATAATCTACAACAATTTGGGTTTTTTCTAACAATACTAATTTTTAAATGCCAGCATAGTAATTTGCTGCTCATGGAAAGACTTTGGACAGGTAAAAGCAACAGAAATCTACAGGTAATGTGCACGTAGTAATTTATTAATTTTGGTTGTCTTCAGGATACTTTTTTGCCAGCTTTCTCAGTGTATTGAAATACGAACCTGCAGATGGGGGTATTGAAAATTGGAGGGGTGCTATACTGAAATCTAATCTAAACCTCCCAATTTTCAAGTATTCTGTACCTTACCGTCCTTCCTCCTCAATGCCCTTCTTCCAGACTGTTTTGAATGCGTTCTTAGAACATGCACTATGTTCATGGGTTTTTTTCTGTAGAAAAAGAATTTGAAATAGTTCTGCAGAAATATCTGTTTCTGTTTCTTACATAAGCCATCTCTCTCAGACTAGTACTCCCATAAAAAGCCTTAGCTGTCAGTAGTTGTACTGAATAAACTTCCTCTGCAGGGATGTCAATCTGTTGACATAACCACAGTTCAGTACTAAGGTGTTGTATTTTTATGTTGGATGTTTTTTGAATTTTCTGAAGGTGAAAGTGGACGCCTGGGATGTGCACTACACAGGTCGTGTAGTAAGTCACCTCTGTATCAAAGAGGAGGATGTGACATGGCAGTCATCCTGACAAAGCCCCTTCTGTAACTGTTGATACCTTCTTTTCTCCCAGCCATACATGCAGCTTGCTGAAGATGATAAGGTTCGGTACGAGAATGAAATGCAGTTGTGGGAAGCAAAAATGGTCGAACTTGGATGCGAAGACCTGATACGTTCCAGAAAGCAAAAGCCAGAAAAGAAAACTGCTGAAACCTGTAAACAAAGCTGAAACAGCCAAAGCTTCTTCATATGAAAATGAGGCAAAATTAAAGTTGAAAAAATCAGAAGAATGAAATGGTTAAGTATTTTATATTTGATGCCCTTTGGTTGTCACGTCTTTGTCCTGCTGTGTTAATGCTGCAGTCTGCATTAGCACCAAAATTTGGAGAACCCATAAAGGGCCCACTGGAGAAGTAGAAAAGATGATCAGGGAAGAGAGGATGCGGTATCTCTCAGAACTGACTGAAATAATCATTGCAGGTGTAGCCTCAACTGTACAACAGTAACTGGTTAATCAAGCTGTGAGTAGTGATACTCACTGACATCAGCAGAGCTCTCCAGTAATGGTAGATAACAGCTAGCTTTTATAAGATATTTTGAATGAAAGCAAGAATATTCTGCAATGTTACCATCTAAATGCTGTAAATAAGAGCTGAAATGTGAGTTAATGCTGCTGTGTTTTATTCCCTCCGTGGTATTGGTAGCGAAATGTTCTACATTTCAACAAAAGGCACAGGAAAGGTAAAATACTAACTTTTATTTCATGCATCTGTCTTTTTGTACGAATCAATCAGTGTATACCACCTATGTTGCATTTCATTAAAGACCATATGAGTTTTCTATAAATGTATCTTTACAGGACTTTTATTCCATGGCTTTGTTGGGATACATGCAAACACTTTTGCCTTCCTGTTGTCACATTTGGGACAGCCTGGAAGGAAAAGACTATGTGCGAACTGTTAGAACTTTGAGTTTTGACGTAATAAATGTAGGTATTTGTAAGAGGTGCTTGTTTTCCTTTACCGGGGTCTGTCTGCCTTAGTGAAAGCCTCATAGGAATTTGGGGAGTCTATTTTTAGAAGGCAGGCAAGCTTTTTCAGTAGGCAGTGGATTTCATCCATCCCGAATGACTCACAAAAGCCAGCAAAGCTTCGTTTTTACCAGGGGGAAGTGGAAAGCCGAAGAGGAGTTGCTCGCCCGTTTGTTTTATCTGTTTGTTTTCCGCTGGTTTTAAAACGTACTGCTGCTAACTGTGTCTGAGCGCACCTGGCTTTCTTCCTTCGCAGGAGAACACAGAGCGCGTCCCGAGGGCGGAGGCTCTCGCTCCTCAGCAGGTTCCCGGCCCGTCCCCGAGGGGCAGCCGCCCGCACCCAAACCGTCCTCGGAGCGGCGGGGGGGCGGCGGGGGAAGCCGGGCCGGCTGCAGCCTGGCCGCCGGCGTCTGCGCAGCTCCTGCCCGCTCCAATTAATTGTGCGGGAAGCCTTCCCCCTCCCCTGCCGCCCCCCGCGCCCGCCCGCGGAGCGGCTGCAGCCGCGGAGGGGAGCGGAGGGGAGCGGAGCGGAGCGGAGGGGAGGGGAGGGGAGCGGAGCGGAGCGGAGGGGAGCGGAGGGGAGGGGAGCGGAGCGGAGGGGAGCGGAGCGGAGCGGAGCGGAGGGGAGGGGAGGGGAGCGGAGCGGAGCGGAGCGGAGGGGAGGGGAGGGGAGCGGAGCGGAGCGGAGCGGAGGGGAGCGGAGGGAGGGAGCGGAGCGGAGGGGAGCGGAGGGGAGGGGAGCGGAGGGGAGGGGAGCAGCTTGGCGCGGCGCGGCTGAGGGGGGGGAATCCCGCCCGCCTCCCTGAGGGCGCTGCCGCCGCCGCGCCGCGCATGCGCGGGCTCGGCCCAGGCTCGCGCGGGGCGGCCGGGCGGGCTGGGGCTGCTGGAGCCGTGCGGGGCCGCCCTGGGCTCTGCCGAGCGCTGCCGCGTCCTGGGCGCCCGCCGGCGGGCCTCGCCGCGGGAGATCCGCCGCGGCTGCCCCGCGCCTCGCTCCGCGTCCACCCCGGCCGCGCCGAGCCCCACGCCGAGGAGGCGGCGACGCGGCGGTTCCAGGTGAGGGAGGCTGCCGGCCGCCCCGCTGCTGCCGGCCTGACCGGCCGGCCCCTCTGTGCCCGCAGATCCTGGGCAAGGCCTACGCCGTCCTCAGCGAGGCGGAGCAGCGCGCCCTGTACGGTGAGCAGGGCACGGTGGGCGAGGAGGGCGAGGTGCTGAGGGGCGAGCGGGACTGGCAAGAGTACTGGCGGCTGCTCTTCAGGAAGGTGAGAGCTGGGCCGGGGCCCCGCAGGGCTCGCCTGGGCGGGGGCAGGCCCTGCGGGAAGCGGGGAGCTCCCTGGCGAGCTTCGGGTAAAGCACGTGGCTTCTCTTTTTGTTTTGTTTTGATTTGTTTTGTTTAACGCTGTCTCTGAAATCCATCTGGTGAATAAATCACGTAACTTCAGAAGTGTCACTTCTTTGCTTCAGATCACAGTGAAAGATATTGCAGACTTCGAAAAGAGCTAGAAAGATTCGGACAAAGAGCTAGCTGTTATTAAAGCAGCATATGTGGATTGCGAGGGTGACCTGGACAGAATAATGGAGTCTGTGTTGTGCGTGGACTATACAGATGAACCGAGAATACGGAAAGTCGTAGAAAAAGCCATTGACTGTGGAGAAGTCCCATTCTACAAAGGTTTTGTAAGAGAGTCTAAGCAGAAAATGATTGTGAGGAAAAAGCGGGTAGGTTATATCAATCCGGGACCAAAGGGAAGCATATTTTTTATGATAAGCTTTTAATCTTCCTTGTTAGAAATAAGTGGAACTGTTCTTGAGGGAAATGTTTGCCACAGGATTTCTGGGTTACAGAACTTGCTCTGTGTCTTTGACTTTCACATTTGGACACCTGTGTTCTCCCCCCTTCCGCCCCCCCCCCCCCCCCCCCCAATTGTTGTGACAGGCTTTTGAGCTGTGATAGGCTGCTGCCAATCTTTATTTCTCTGTTTTATTATTAATTCTTTATTATTATACACAATGGCTTATTACAGTTTAGCATGTCCCTGCATTTATTTACACAGCTATGAGCTGCTGGAGTTCAGTGTACGTGGTAGAAATACGTTATGCTCGCCTTCTGGCGAGTGTGAAATAACATTCTGGACTAAATGGACCTCTTCTTCAACGTAGGGTTTTTTGAACACTTTGTGGATCTTACATGCACATCGCAGTAACCGTTCTCTAAGTTAAAGAAAATGTAATAGCTGCCAAGACAAAAAAAGTGTGGGTGGGGGGAACAGGGATAGGCATAGACATCACATTCAGCATTGTGAAACAACAAAAAACTGTCCCGCTCTACTAAAGCCAGAATGGTCTTTCTTTCACCAGTTTGTCATCTGTGGCCAAATTTGGAAACGATTTGTGTTTCCTCGCAGCTAGTTGTATACAGATTAAAAAAAAAAAAAAAAAAAAAAAAAGTGTTTCATAACTATTATAAGACTGTGTCAAAAAACTTGCAAAATACTTGTTAAAAAACTAGTTGGCTATTTTCGGCAGAAAAAGAAGCTAGAGAGGCAGAAGAGACTAAAGCTGAACTGGGACTTGGTGGAGAAGATGATTTGAAAGCACTGATTCGAGTAAGCCTTTTTCTATCTGCTGAAGATAAGTATGTTGCTGGCCTATAATTCCGTTCTCCCTGAGCCTCTTTGTAGTTTGGATCCTTGCAACTTGAGAGTTCTGAGGTTAAAACCTGACCTTAATGTTAGCTACCTATGTACTTTACTTAATAGTCAGTGTGGTATGGATTTTACTGCCTGCGTCTTCTGAAAATTAACAAAGTTATTCAAATATCCTTATGGCATACACAATCAAAATATTTAACTTCTAGTTTTAGGTAGTTAGACATGGAGTATTAATGATTTTTTCTCTGAGGGATTCCATCAGGATGTAGAAGCTGATAGGTCTTCCTGTTTTGTATCTTGAGGACCGAGGAAAGAAACATACTGTTTACATTCTGCTTTTTGGAATGTTTTCTGTTTCTCATCATCCAGTGGGCTTCCTAGAACATTCATGCTTAATCATTCCTCAGACTGCAGTAGAGTTTTGGGTCTAAACTTAGAAATTGTTTTGCTTTTCCTAGGCTTATGTTGGGAATTTTTATAGCCACTTTACGTCTGTCTCGATACTTCAGGAGAAGTTAGGTATAGAGCCTAGAGTATACAAGTAGAATTTTGCTTGATGGTACTACACTTTGTATTGTGTTATATTTGTATTGTATTATATTGCTTGCGTTCCCTGTTTAATATATTCCAATATTTTATGTAGCTGTCATACTATCAACTTCACTAGAATAATCTGTACTAGGAAGTAGTAAAAGTTTTGGGTCGGTTTTCTTTTTTAATTTCCTTTCCCCCAGAGCAGAAATAAAGATCGAAAAAAGGAAATGGATGACTTTTTGGACCAACTGGAAGCAAAATACGGGAAAAATGCTAAAAAAGGAGAAAAGACGACTGCAGCCAAGAAAGGAAAGAAATAAAGAATGGTGTAGGCTGAGATACCAGGTATCATTTTGTATGGGATCACGTGGATTTGGGAGAATTTCAGAGTTTTTCTGGGCTACTGTTTCAGAGTGTGTGCATCAGTTTGCTGTGACTGGGAGGTAGGATACAGAATGCATCATGAACAAGACAAAGCATTCTGGTGCTACTCTTGAAAAATCCTTTGGGTGCTCTTCGGTTAGGATCAAACAGATTCCTGAGTAAAAGTTGTTACAGTAAGGAAGCGGTGTGAGGTTTGGGACCATGGTGTGTTTATTCAAGTTCTTTTGAAGCACCTTCCTTCCAAACACCTAATGGATATTGGTACAGTTGATGGTAAAATGGTGTAACCTCTCACCTTTGAGAGTCTTCAGTGGCGATTCCTGAGGTTTCTGAGTTGGAAACCTTATCTTTTTGCTAGCCACATGTTTCTTATGTAACAAACCTTCTGCTGTTTGTTAAAAGTCTTTGAACTTCAGCTCAACAGGTATTTTCAGTGGTTTTCTAAAGATACTTTGGAATATTGCAGATTTAATAGAGGAAAAGTTTTCATAGAATTCTGTGCTAAGTTGCTTCCCCAGCCCTCTCTACGTTTTCTGTGTAGCTGTTCAAAACAAACTGATTGTGCGGACTCTTCTGACTGATTGAAGTCAAGTAAATACTACTTTGTAGTATTTGTATAGCAGCTGTAACTATGGCTACATTGTTGGCTGCGACGTCAGTGCTGGTGATGCCATGTTCCATGAAAGGGCCGGCTCGTGTTTGGCCTTGGATTGCCTGTGGCAGATGCCTTAGGAAGAAGAGTGCAGCATGTATGTCACTGTGCAGGAATCCTCTGACACACTGAGGTGAGGCAATAGCTGAAAAATCCACAGGAGAGAGTCGGTTCTGTGCATTTCTAGGGTTTGTGATGTCCCGTGACAAGGAGTTCCAAAGCTCAGAAATGCATTGCTTGTTATTTCAATAGCATCACAGTCAAGTCTGCTGTAGGGTGGTAGCGATTAGCTACTTCACTACATTTGTCAACCCTTCTGTTATTTCAGAAGTGAATTCCTTAAGTAGGATCTGCAAATACTTGAAAGGTTTATGCTTCAGCTGTTTTTAAACCACCTGACAGTGTGTGGGGTTATGAATTTGAAGGGTAATTAACTAGTTTTCAACTCTGTCACAAAGGGATGAGGCTGGCTTTATTTTGTGGATCATTTTTCAGAGGCTTATGAGCGACAATGTGAACACTACCTTTTGAGCTGAAAGTCCTCACTGCTTCAGTGATAGCATTCAGGAGCTGGCTATTTAATAGAGCTTCCCAAGGGGAAGCTAGAAGTAGATGGTAACTATTCCTTTACGCGGCTTCTTTCAAAAATTATCCTGATTCTGAGAGTACAGCATATCTCTGTGTTGCACAACACATGGACCTGAACGTTACTTTTGCTATACAAAATAGACACCTACCAGCCCAGAAGTCTCGTGTCAACCATTTGTACAGAAACCAAAAATTACCTTATGGTGAGACTGCTTTCACTTTTTTAACACACTGACTCCTCTTAGCTATAAAATACTACATTATATTACTAGAAGTCTGTTCAAGTTTATTTGTATATTTTTGTAACTCTTACGCACTAGGGCTACAGAAAACTACCTTGCCCCCTGAGGAATGGCACCGATATAAAGGGGATGCTTATCTCCAGTGAGCTTGATGTAACTAAATGCCACACTGTACAATGTTCCAGTAGTGTCAGCTGTTAAAAGAAATTGTATTTTGAAAGGGTTTAGTGAACAGAGGCCTCTCTTTAGCATCAATTTGCCTCTATGCAAACCCAAGAGATTTCAACTGAGGCCACAGCTTTTTTTTTTTTTTTTTCACCCCTCTAGAAATGCAAAGGAAAGGTAACTTAGTTACATTTGCACAGTTCTGCTTTGCTTTCTTTTCCCTTCTTTTTGAGTAAAGCATGCTTGGATCAACTGGACTCAATAACTTCAATATGGATTAAAAATGATTAGCTGTTCTGTAGGTACCACTAACATTTGATAGATTACATAACAGAGTGGGATAGTAGGAGCTACTTCCTAAAGAATACCGACTAGTTTTTTTCATTATGAATTGTAATTTAGAAAGCATTAATAAGGGAAATTTAGAAAGAAAGTGCTTTTTAATTGGACAATTTTTTAAAGGAAAAACTGTTTTCATGCAGCGTCCTAATTTTGTTAAAATACATTAAGTGGTTATCCTCACCTCGTCTGTACGCTTATTTATCATCTGGAGTTTACTGTTTTGGGAGTAAGACCTTCAGCTAATCACTTAGAAGCATGTATTTCATGTTTTTGTCTAATTTGGGGCCACAAGGGCAACTGCAGCAAATACCACTGATACATCTGTCCCAGTGCAGAACCCATCTACTAACAACGTCGTTGCATCTGTGGGTTTGGAGCCTCAGGGCAGAGCGCAGAAATCTTTGGTAATTGCAGGCATTTTTAGAAAGGGAGACTGACCTATTTTGCAAAATTACCATGAAATATCCCGCCAGGAAGACAACGTACTTTCTTTGAATACTGTCTGGAACTACTTGCAGTAAGAGTCCCTTCTGCCTCTTCCACCCTCAGTCAGTGAGGAAGAGGTCCAAGTACGTAACACAGGAAGAGTCACTAGTGTGCTACCCTTAAAGTCATCAGTTCTGCTCAGCTGGTTTGCTACCTTATTTTTATACAACTGCGTTGATATCTGCTGCAGTTATTACAGGATTCATAACTTGTCTAAGTTGAGTTGTAGAAGCAGCGACGTGTAGTGCTTGCTTTTGATAGTATAATGTTGCTTTAAACATATAAATACAGCTTTTAACATTGAAATTACTGCTGTGATGGAAAATCTTTCATCTTCTGTAGAGCTAACAGAAAAATTGGCAGATTCTGCAGTACTTGCCTGTAACAAGATGAACAGGTCATAAGCCAGTAATGGGAAAACAGCAGTGGCTGAGTGTGTTGTCTGGATTTTCTAGGAGTTAGGCTTTACTGCCCACTGGAGTGCATTTACCCTTCCACTGGAGTATAACTACTTCTACTGGTGGCAAATGGAATGTTTTAAGTATACCCCTGCTAATCTTTGGCAGCTGCTTCTTAGATTGATAAAAAAATAACTATTCATAAGGATGGGTGTTTGAAGACTCTGCTGTAAACAATGTTGACATTGCTGAGAATGAGAGCTGGTGCATGACTCTGGTCATGGATGGACACTTCTTCATGGCACGTTTAGAACCCCTGTTTGCTTTTTGTGACTGATCCACCTCGACTGTGGGCTTTCAGAGAACCATGCAGCTGAAGACCTAATAAACAGAGATCATGTACAACTTTAGGACTTTTGAAAGGTATTAAAACTAAGTACCAAATGCATCTCCTTTAGCTTAAAACTAAAATGCTTTTCTTTTTTGGTGTTTTTTTTTTTTTTTTATTCTAATATCAACTGTGTTACGTAAGACTTAGGCAAGTTTGAGACAAGTGCCTGGCCATCCAAAAGAGGCAAATTTTATGCTTTCACAGTTGCTGCATTGCAGGCAACTACTATGTTCCTGGATATTTCATAAAGTGTTCAAGTCTACGAAGTTCTTCTGCTGATTTCAATTTTTTTTTTGTTAATACATCAGTCAAAACTCAGCTTGTATTTAAAGATACTGGGGTTGGATTTTTGGGGGGCGGGGGAGGGAGCAGATTTCAGTAGGAACCATTCCTGTCTTGCTTAAAAACCAGTTACTTCAGTTTAGTGCCTTTCAGTTGCCTCTTGTACCACTTGTAAGTGGTAGGAGGCCGCTCAGCTACTCAACAAGCTAAAAGACCCCTCCTGTCCTCTGACAGTCACCCATGTACTTGCTACCTTAACCCTTGCAGCTTCCATTAACTTTTGCAGCTTCACTCCTATCTTGTTAGTGTATTTTTATGTGGGGAATGCTGACAACTCTGTAAGGAGTCCCAAACCACTGCGATGAAATGAATCCAGCGTCATTTGTCTTGACGGAGCTAGTTTTCAGAACGTGCACCTAACCCCCTGCTCTCTGTGCCGCCCTTTCCAGGTGGAGGTGATACTTGGCATCAAAACAAAGTTAACAGGGAGTGCTTAAAAAAAAAGCTGTTCCGGGGCACAAAAGTTAACTTCTTCTCTCCTGTAGTCTCTGAACAAGCTCCCTTTCACCTGACTAGACTAGAGCTTGTGTGTGCCATGAGGTAAAAAACCTAAATCTCTGCTGGTAAAGTTGAAATAAGTAAGGTTCATTGGTTGACTGTAACACTGGTGTACACGCGTGCAACTAGTCTTGTCTGCAGTAGACTTTCATTCTGCAGCCACATCAGCTTGCTGTGGGTGATTGCTAGTCCCAGAGTTTCTTGGCAATGGATTTAAATGAAAGGAACTTACTTTTTCATTACCACAGATTTGTTTAATTTTTTTTTCTTTTTTTTTTCCCACAAGACTCTTAAAAGAAAAGGGGTGGAACACAACACAGGAGTTAATTGCAAACCTGTGTCTTGACTCTCAGGGCCATATTTTCCTTCCAGTTGAGGGAACAGAAGGAGTGAGGAAGTTGATAATGTTGCAATCAGTTCTTAGGATGGGGAACCGACAGAGGTCATGTGTAGCACCTGAAACAATGCTTTTCAGTTCCTGTCCTGTTCTTCAGCAGTTAAATTATGCTGATTCTCCTGAAGCAAATCTCTAGTTGAAGAGAAACGTTTGCTATTGCTGTTATTAACGAAACCAAATACATTGGACCAAACGTGTTGCAGTTAAAACAGGTTTTTTTTTTTTTATTTACTGGTTGGATCATGGTCTGTGGCATCTGTATTTACCTCAACTCGCATTTAAAAAAAAAATGTGCTGTTTTCTGTATTATTTGTACTTCGGTATTCTCTCTGTTTAAACATGTGCATTTGTATATTAAATTAAATTTTCGGCTGCCTAGTGTGTGACTGTTCCGATCCTGTCTGATGAGACTGTTGCTACCTGCCAGGTGTTCTTTTACAAAGGAGAGCTGCACCTCATCCCGCTGTCAGAGACCCAGGAGCAGGAACGTGACCTATCTGCCACCACTCTGACAGTCTCGCAGGCGGTGACGCTGTTGTCCACCTGTTCAGAGGAGTTCCTGGCTGCAGAGCCCATCCCAACAGCAGTGTAGAAGCGCATCAGTGGGTGTGTGGGTGTTTCACTTTGGTCTTCTGCAACGGTGAGTTTTGATTCTGGGCTGTCTGAGGTGCTTTCTTGTATTCAGTCGTTTTCCTGTTAGGTGTGATAAAGTGGCTTCCTTTTCAGAAACTAGTGTTTTTTCTGTGGTCTTCTTCTGAAGAGGGGGACCAGTGCCCTGTAGGCTGTGCTGTGATCTGGGGGCTCTGGAACTGGTTCACTGCTGTGATGCCACACCTGACAAGGACAAGTTATTCTGCCTTCACTTCCTTCTTGTACTGAAAAATCTGGAAGTTCTGTGGGCCTTTAGGAGCCCTTTGAGGAGGGAGAAAAAGGATTGCAAACTAAAGTGTAGAACCATCACGCTTTTCAGAGCGATAGCTTCTCACAGGTCTATTCAGCACCATAAGTTATTTTTTGCAAGGATTTGACAGCACGAGCCAGATGACTTCTACAGCCGGTGCAGTGAAGGATGCTGTGGAGTAGGACATGTTAGTCAAGTTCACAGTGATTCATTTTACCAATGTGGGGATTAAATTTTTATTAGCCATGTGTAGTTCTGTATAAACAGACATGCCACGTGTTAGATTAGCGGAGTTTTAACTTTAGTTTAGAATAATCAACTGGCATTTGGCCCATAATACAGATTAGTATTAAAGTGAAAATGGGAATATTAGCTTAAAGAGTGGTTTCTGCTTGCGATGCACTTACTACGCTATGTTATTGTACAATGCAGGTATCCTGAGAAAATTCAGACCTCATTTCACCGAGCCCACTGCTACCTTCCAGCAGGCATTGTGGCAGTGCTGAGGCAGCGCCCTTCGTTGGTGGCTGCAGCAGTCCAGGCCTTTCACCTGCGAGAGCCTGTGGATTTACGAGCGTGGGGCTCTTCTCAGACTTTCCCTCCAGACGAGCGTGTGGTGACCATAGTAGGTGATCCTTCTGATGAAACTTGTCACTGAATTAGGTTCTGTAAGTGACGAAGGTTCTGTGGTCAGGTGATACAACTATGTGGATTTAATTGTTAAAATAGAATGTTTTCTGACTTATTTTTTATTTTTGACACTAGACATGCATTTCCAGTTCTTTATGTTAAATAGCTTTTCTGCCTTCAGATTGACATAGCTAGGCTTTCAAATGGCTAATCAGAAGTGCCTCTGAAGTCGGAGGTTACTGTTAGTAGCTCCTCTGCTGGAATGCTCGCTAAGGAAATTCATCTAGTTCTGTGATCGGAGCAGTCTGACAGCACTGCCAGCCAACACCAGGAGTTGCTCCTAACTACCCCTGGGTGTTCATTCCAAGGCTTTTCCCCTTCTCAGCGGTGCTTACGCAGCTCTGTGAAAGCTACTTTAGGAAGTGGTTTATGTTCCTTGTCCAAGCAGTGTTGTGTTGGATATGTTTGCATAACAGAGTTATACCGCTAGACTCCTGAAAATAAGTTTGGGAGTCAAAGTGGATACACGCTGCCCCTCCCATCTCACCCTCAATACAAAGCCTATGAACTGGGCATGAAGCTGGTAATTACTTTTTATGCATTTTGTACTTAGTCTTTAGTTTGCTTGTTTACCTATGTCCAAGAAGTTACTCTGCTTGTAAGTTGCCTGCTTGTACAGAATAATGCGAGCAAATTCAGTTACCATTTTTCTGGAAGTACATTATTGTGGGGGCTTTCTTTTACAGGCTAGAGCACTCTTGTACTTATATAGATTACAAGTACAGGTCAAGCCTTCATGCTTGTATGAGGAGTAGCTTGTGCACTACAGATCTGTCTTCCAGGTTGCTTTTCCCATGTAGAGAAACTTTGCGAAGTCAAAATGAACCATTATTGCTGCAGAAAGACAGATTTCAGCTTCCAAAGCAAGATACTGCTCCCTGACATATAATTGGGTTTGGCACCTGCTTCTCTCAAGTGGCAGTATCAGGAGCTCGATGGCAGTCAGTTCTTTACGCGGTCATTTAAAGGTGCACTTAAATGTGGCACATCTGGAGAGTCTCATGTTGTTGCATCTCTTATACAGGCCCATGGCTTTGAAATTTTGTGCTCCAAGTGGAGTAAAGTATCTCCTGATTCCAAGAGCAATGTGTTAAGCGGTCCCCTGTGGGCGAGATTCCTCCTCAGCAACCTGAAGGAAAAGAATTATTTCAGGGTGTAGTTGTGTGTGTGTGTTTGTCTTTTAAACATGCCAGGAAAAACATGTTGTAGCTCTTGAACTTGTGTAAGTAGTTACAGCAGGGCAAGAAATCTGGTGCTTCTGTCTGTGGGAAATTAGTGGATGTCTCTACAGGAGATCTGTGCAGTTTGTTCCCCTTTGAAATGAGTTAATTTCTTTTGGAAATTAAAAAGGAAAAGGCAGGATTTGCGGATGAATTTATTCATCTAAAGAAAGTGGAAATACACTCGAATAAAGGAAACCACAGTTTGGCTGTGTGTCAGTATAACTGTTTTAACTGTTTTACATTTCATTTGCATGCATTTAGAATTAGATATTCTTTAAGATCTATACTTAACACCCATCGATACATTTGGGGCCATGTAAGTGTATTTTTTGTTTGTGTGGGGCTTTTTGTTTTGTTTTTTTTTTTTTTAAAAAGATGCCTTTGATTGCTTATTTGAAGTTTACAAATTGGTCATAAATTGACTACTTATTTGAAGGTTATAGAATCAGACAACTCGGAATGCTTAGGTTAATATCTTGTAAATATAAGAGAAGGGGAATATGCTTACAGTACTGCAATGCCACTTGTATGGATAGTTCCCCAAAACCAAGAGATTCATTCACAATCCTTGCACAATTGTAACTTGGGCATGGTAAATACACTGTGTTGTAAGGATCAGTATTTTCTTCGATTGTTTTTAGTGTACACCATATGATATTGTAACACAAGACTTCAATTCATATTTGACAGTGAAAACACCTTATGCCCCTTTCCTATATTCTGTTCCAAGCATACGTGGCACAGCAGTATTACTTGTTGGGATTTTTCTCAGAACTAAATTTCTGTCTGACAAATAGTCATTGTTACGAAGCATGTCTGTGGAAAGGAAGGGGAGGGAGAATTCTTTAGATTTATACTTGTGGCTTGCATTAAATAGGGAGAAATGGAAGGATCTGCTAAATACTTGGAAGTGCTGCACAGGGCAGAAGATTACTTCCAACAGTCTGTTACCAAGCCCGAAAGGTAAGAGCTACTTGAAATTCATGAGTAACCATCCATACGCAGTACCTACAAGTACTTTAATTTACCTTTTTTAATACTTGTTACAAAGAACCCGAACCCTTTTCTCCACTGTACACTTAACATAGGTGCTGTGGCTAAGACATAGGGGTATTAATTCCTCTAGAATACTCTGCTAGTAGAAGTTACTGCTTGAGTAACTATTTATCTTGGTTTTGTAAAATGCTAAGCTATTCCAAGTGGGTTAAGAGGTGACTGAAAAGCATCATTTGGCTGGTTGGTTGTAGAAAGTGTTTAAAAGCTTAATTGAAAATCAATCTTAGTGAATAAGAAATATGGAGTAATCTGTCTCCTTTACTTACGAGAGGCAGCTGGCTGTAAATTTCTCTAAAAGATCAAATCCAAAAAATAAATCATTACAAAAATATCTGAGGGTTTGCCAACTCATAATATCTTGACTGTTAGTTGCTTGAATTTCCAGTCTTGTGCTGTTTGGGATCTGGCAGTCCTAATGTTTACCAAGGCAAAATAAATATAAATAACAAAAGAAGCATGAGAAATTTGCTTTGGAGTCATCAACAAGGAGTAACAGTAACTGACCGTGTCCTGTTTTGGCTAATACTATTGGTGTAGTATTCTGGTACTTTCCCCAGATTCACTTACCTTTTTGATGTCTTTGCACAGAAGGAATCTTGAGGAATTGGAGTGAAAACTTGCGTGTAGTGTGTGTGATGCCACTGGTATCGTAATGCTAGTAAAAATCCATTTCAGTAAATGGAATTTTTTTCGTCTAGCTCTTTTGAAGTGAGCCCAGGTGATGAAATCTTGACACTGCTACAGACAACAACTGTTGATTTGAAGGAATTTGAGAGAGAAGCAGCTTGTCTTTTTCCAGAGGATGGTGAGCCGGATGGGGGGTGGACTGTTCCTATCACAAATGAGTATTTGTTGGGGAAGAGGGTGAATGTTCACAGCACTGTACCAGTCTCTTTGTCGATTTAGTCTCCTACCATGTGACTGCTGGAGGTGTTATTCATGGGCCATCATTTAAGATGAAGGCAACCAGTTCGTTTGTATAAGCTCGGGGCTGTGAACTGGCGAAATACGCAGTCCAGTTTCTGGTTTGATACCACTAGATTGATAACACCGTGCACACTTACACCAGATCAAGTCCTTTGTGTCAACTGGATACCAGACAGGAGGTATTTAAACATTTAAGAATAATAATAAATCAATTCCAATGCTGACAATACAAAGTTAATTACTATCTGGTCTACTCTGATGGCCAATACAAGACCAGCATAAACTTTACATAATAGGTTCTTTTCACTCATGTCACAGGAACGCAGTTGTTGCCAGCGTGCAGCACAGGTCACATCTGGATTTCTGAATGATGCCTTAGCATGCAAATCCAGCATTCAGCATTAATGATTGTAGTGGAAGGTCTCCCTTTATAGTGTAAGCCTTTTCTTCTTTCATTTAGTGGCAGAAGGATTACCTGTGGCTACAACAATTTCTGCTAGTTTGAAGCTGCATGTAGAGCAGAGTTTTAAAGTAGTAAAATAAAATCCGAACACTCTTCTCAGCCTCTCTCTGCCTTATACCCCGTGTTATTTTGTATCAGCACGAAAACTTGACAGTGCAAAAATAAGCTACAAAATGCTAGCAGTACTCTCAGCCATCTGGATTGGGTTTTGTGGCCATTGTGGGCTGACAGATTTGTGCCGAATAACAAATATGCCCTGCATTCTTTCAGATGACAGTTGGCTGGAGATTACAGCAGGTGATCTAGATCAGATGCTGAAGGAGGCAAGAAATGAGTCCCTTCCTTCCTCCAATGAGGAAGAGCAGAAATACGACTTGGAAGCAGTTGCTGAAAGTATGAAGGCTTTTGTATCCAAAGTCTCACCACATGAAGGAGCAGAAATGCCACGGCAGTAGTATTTTTAAGTTTGGTGCGTGGTGTAGAATGTGTTTTCTTTCTGCTGTAGCCCTTTGGTTGATTCTGTAATGCACATACTGTACACCTAGAAGCAGGAGAAAAGAATCAAATCACGGTGGATCCCTGTCATTGTTCCCAACAGTGGGAGTGCTAACTGAAGATACCTAACTAGTTAGGCAAGAGCAGAATGCCACTAGATTAAGTGCTGGAGTTAAGAAAGTGTGTGTGACTGGTGTGGACAGGCCTTTAATTTTAAAAAACAAAGGGTGAGGTAGGAGCATATTGTCCAAGTTCTTTTTAGTAGCTTTAATATTGAGAAAATAATGCTGTGTAAACTGTATCAAGCGTATAAGGGTCTACTCAATTTATACTCTTAATTGTTTGATCCTTTTTAATTACTGTTAGTGTCAATGTCTGAGTTATAATGTGGACTTTTTTCAGTTATTTAAAAAATAAAGGAACAAAAAAAAAAAAAAAAAAAAAAAAAGGGGGGGGCAAACCACTGAGCCTTAAAAGAGACTAGAATGAAGCCTGCGGTGTTCTTTCTAGGCAGGAGACCTCCAAGATTCTCAGCTTTTTAAATCTTTGTCTGAGGTGTAGCACCACCACTTTGTTCCAGAAAGATTCGGGCATGTTTATTTTGGTTCCCTTCGGTGCAATTTTTATTTGACCACAACAAACGGTTAAAGTTGTTGGGTTTATTTTCTCTTTCGTGCCAGGAACTCCTCCCGTTGCTGTTTCGTTCCTAGTTCATACAGGCCTCAGACTTCTAAGCACTTCCAAGACCATCAGTTCAAATGTTCCACCTTCAGTCTAGGCTCGAGAGAAATCTGTATGCCATATGGCTTATGTCTGTGTCAGCTTATGCAAGCCTAAAAGCTTTATTTATTTAAAAATTTTTTTAGATATCAGGTCACCTGATGAATCCCATGTTACCTTTGATGTAGATTCTTTTACAAAAGCGTTAGTCAGAATTTTAGGTGAGATTGCTTCTTTGTTTCTTTTGTCAGAATATCTCATGGTTATTTGGCTTTCCTGGGTCATCCATCCGTCACCCATGGTCGCTGTGCTGATTTGTTTGCTATCTGTACTGACACAAAATAATATATATGTAGGGGCAGACTCAGAAGAGCTGGATTCTGATGGTCTGGATGAAGAGGAGGAGTTTGATTTCTCGAACAAGGATGATGAAGACTTAGATGTGGAAGATCAAAGGCAAGACCAGAAGGTGCCGCCTAATGAGCTTATAGGCAGTCTCAAGTCATACATGAGTGAGATGGACCGTGAACTGGCACATACCAACGTTGGTAAAAGTTTCACCGTCCAAAAGAGAGGGGTAAGTATGCCTCGAGTTCTAGTTTGTAGCATAAAGTGTTGAGAGCTTTAGTAGGAAAGAGGAATTATGCTAAAAGTGATCATTCCGAGTAATGTAATCAAAAACTTCTGTCTTCTAATCATGTGCTAACTAATTATTAAAAAATAAAATGAAAATCGCACGCGCAAGCAAAATGTGCCGCAGCTGCACCATGGTGTATTTTTCTGGGGGGGTGGGAAGAAAACCAACGTAGGGAAGCTTTAACTTGCACATTGTTTCCAAGACTTAGTTTCATTTCCCTGTTTTA